ATGACAGCTGAGTACTAGTGATCCTGGTACACAGCTCTGCCCATGTATCCAGGAGGGCATCACCAAAGCTGCACCATGTCTTTTCACACACGAACAAACTACCCCACATTCTGCAAATACATGGATCTTCACAAAAAAACCCCAAACCCAGAAACAAAAGATCATTTCTCTTCTGGCATTTCATGCCCTGAGTTGCAGATACCAAACTCAGCAGATCTCCTTTCACCTCCCTGGAGATAAGCATTGAAGTTTAGCTTTTTTTTTTTAAGTTGGACTTAAAGATTTAGGGATAGATCAGGAAATACAGTGTGTGGAAGCGAGACAGCTCCTTCCCGGGATGCGAGATGAGCCTGGAGCCAGTGCCACGCTCCTGCAGCCCTGCTGCTGTGCAGGCCGGCCGGCATGCCCTGGACAAACCCACCCGCCCCGCTCCAGACCATTCACACTGCCAGAACAAAGTACAAGAATTCAAATATACCATTCAAAAACATTAATACGCAAAAACGCAAGAAACCCCCCAAACACTAGACGTGCTCGCAGTGCTGGTGCTAGACTGAGCGAGGGGAAGGAGGAAACACGGAGCAGGGGAGTCAGTGGGGATGCGCAGTGCCAGGGTACACGTATTGAGGGATAACACTTGAAGGCGGCTGCTTTGACCCAGCAATCAACCGGCACAGCCCTCGCCGGCCCCTGCCCTGCCATGCTCAGCTCTTCCAGAAGCTCTGGCAGGCAGTTGGCAGCTGGGAAAGGAAACCCAGGAAGGTTTTTTTTGCTGGAAACAGCAAAACTGCAATGAGGATCGGGAGGAAGCAGTTCCTCCCTGGCCCCCTCCCAGGTCTAATCCAGGAGCTGCCGTCGGAGTGGGCACCTTGGGGCCCAGCCCCTGTGGCCGATTAAAAGGCAAGAAAGCAGGAAAGAAGAAACCAACCGCCCTGGTCACCACCACCTCCCTCCCTGCCTTCTGCTGGTGCTACGGCATCACACTCACCAAGACAGGGTTTGCCCCATAAACACCAACACCCTGTGCTCAGCGGCCAGGCAGCGCAATCCCAGGCCACTCGGCTATTTGCTGGAGGGGACACAGATCGCATGCTTCACAGCAAGCGAGACCCATGGGAACGGTGTTCCGGCACGCCCCGTGCCAGCAGCGTCCCCCAGCTAGCCTCAACCCAGCTCTGCTTGCAAGCACCACAACAGCTTCAACGCGCTTCCTTTGGGTTT